GTGAGAACATCTGCTACTTGACTTTTGGTAGGTATGTAGGACATACAAATCTCACCGCTGTCAATTTTTTCTTTGATGAAATGCTTGTCCACTTCAACATGCTTCGTCCTGTCATGTAGGACAGGATTATGGGCAATAGAAATAGCAGCCTTATTATCGCAGTAAACTTTAATTGGAGTTGGGCCAAAGAACTTCAATTCTTCCATGAACTTTTTGATCCATAATACTTCACAAAAACCATGGGCCACAGATCGGAATTCAGCTTCTGCACTGCTCCTGGCTACAACATTTTGTTTTTTGCTCCTCCATGTAACTAGATTTCCACCTACAAAAGTACAATATCCTGAGGTAGACCTTCTATCATTTATATTACCTGCCCAATCAGCATCTGTATAGGCTTCAACCTGTATATGTCCTCTATTTCTGAATATCAGCCCCTTTCCCGGAGTACCTTTCAAATATCTTAATATTCTGAAAATAGCTTCAAAGTGGGCTGCACCTGGTGCATGCATAAATTGGCTTATTACACTCACTGCAAAGGCTATATCTGGCCTTGTATGTGACAAATAAATTAGTCTTCCAGCCAATCGTTGATAACGTTCTTTATCTACTATTTCATCTTCAGCAACTGACTTTAGTTTCACATTGGGATCCATTGGTGTTTCTACTGCTTTAGACCCTGTCATCCCTGTTTCTGCAAGTAAATCGAGTATGTACTTGCGCTGGTTGAGAAAAATACCTTCTTTAGATCTTGCGAACTCCATCCCAAGAAAGTATTTTAACTTTCCAAGATCCTTGATATCGAACTCAGCCTCAAGTCTTCTCTTCAGATCACTAATTGCTTTGACGTCATCTCCTGTAATAATAATGTCATCAACATACACTATTAAGATAGCAATCTTACCTTCAGATGAGTGTTTAAAGAACATAGTGTGATCTGCTTGACTTTGGGTGAAACCGTGTCTCTTAACAACACTTCCAAATCTCTCAAACCAGGCCCTTGGCGATTGTTTCAATCCATATAGGGATTTTCTCAATCTGCATACTTTGTTTCTTCCAAGATTTTTTTCAAATCCAGGAGGTAAACTCATATATACTTCTTCATGTAATTCACCATTCAAGAAGGCATTTTTAACATCATATTGATATAGTGTCCAGTTGAAATTTACTGCAAGAGAAAGAAGAATTCTGATAGAATTGATCTTAGCAACTGGGGCAAAAGTCTCTTGGTAATCAATACCATGAGTTTGAGTAAATCCTTTTGCTACTAATCTCGCTTTGTATCTTTCCACACTTCCATCAGCCTTGCATTTCACTGTAAAGACCCACTTACACCCTACTGCCTTTTTATCTTGTGGTAGATCAGTGATACTCCAAGTGTTATTTTTGTTTAGAGCATCCATCTCTTCTTTCACTGCTAATTTCCAATTCGGATCACTTAATGCTTCCTGAATAGTTCTGGGCACAAACAAATTAGAAATCCTAGACACATATGCCTTATGGGTGTGTGATAGTTTGTCATATGACAAGTAATTAGACATAGGATGTTTAGTGCACATACGAGAACCTTTCCTCTCAGCAATTGGGACATCGAGGTCAGGAATATTTTTTCTCACAGAAATTGGAAGATTAATATCAGGAAAAGACAAATCAGATAAATCATTGGATGAGTAAGAAGGATTACCAGATGAAGAACTAGAAGACAGATTATCTGTAGGACCTTCACTTGGTAAATCAGATTGGATTTCTACTGGAGAGACAATAGGGTTTGCACCACCTTTGTGGAATTTTTTTCGAACATACACTTTAAGTTCAGGATTATCATCCTTAATCAGTGTTTCTCCCCCTGTTTCAGATTCTATTATCTTAGCATTTGGGTGATTTGTAGTCACAATATCATCTAGAGCAGGCAAAGTTTCCCAAAAATTATCTTCTTTATTATTACATTGACTCTCCCCCTGAAGAGAATTTTTAAAAAAAGGTTGATTTTCAACAAAGTGAACATCCATGCTTTCAAAAAATTTCTTTGTAACTGGGTTAAAACATTTGTATCCCTTTTTATTGGAAGCATAGCCAAGAAAAACACATTTTTCGGCTTTAGGATCCAACTTAGAACGAAAAACATTGGGGATGTAAACATAACAAAGACAACCAAAAATTTTAAGGGGAAGATCCGTAATAATACGAGATGTAGGAAAATTGTTTTGTAACAATTGTACAGGACTTTCATATTGTAACACCCGAGATGGCATTCGATTGATGAGGTGACAAGCAGTTAATAAAGCATTTCCCCAAAGATACTTAGGTACATTCATAGAAAACATAATAGCTCTAGTGACTTCGAGGAGATGTCTATTTTTTCTTTCAGCAATACCATTTTGCTGCGGAGTATCGCGACAAGTGGATTGATGAATTATCCCCTTAGTTACAAGGAATGTACTTAAATATTTGTTGAAATATTCAGTGCCATTGTCAGACCTTAGAATGCCAATCTTAGTTTGAAATTGATTGTTAATCATGTTAAAAAAATCTTGAAATCTTTGTTCAACTTCTGATTTTTTCTCCATGAGATAAACCCAACACAGCCGTGTATGATCATCAATAAATGTTACAAACCATTTTTTTCCAGACATAGTTTTAATTTTTGAAGGACCCCAAACATCACTGTGAATTAAATAAAAAGGTTTAGAAGCAGAATAGACTTTTGATTTAAAAGACACACGATGATCTTTAGCTAAGTGACAAGCTTCACAATGAAATTGTGAGGAATTTATTTCTTTGGAAAAAATAGGAAACAAATGCTTAAGATATGAAAAACTAGGGTGACCTAATCTTTTATGCCATAACATAATTTGATCTGAAACAGGAGATGCGTTTGTACTGTTTGAACCGAAAAACGCTTTATTGCCAAACTGAATTCCATCAAGGTAGTACAATCCATTCATCTCTCTAGCAGTTCCAATCGTCTTCCCCGAGTTCTGGTCCTGAAAAACACAAGTAGAGGGACGAAAAAGAACAGAACAATTAGTGTCCTTAGACAATTTATGAACAGATAGAAGATTACAAGCGAATTTAGGAACATGTAAAACAGATTGCAAAGTGATTTGCTCTGAAATTTTTATGCTGCCTTTGCCTGCAATACTTGAATAACTACCATCAGCTATCCTAACTTTTTCAAAACCTGAACTAGGAAAATAGGTACTGAATAGATGAGAGCAATTAGTCATGTGTTCAGATGCCCCTGAATCTATTATCCAAGGGTTAGAGTGGTTGTGAGCAGATAGTGCCCAAGAATCCTTACCTGTTTGTGCCACAGTTCTAGTAGGGATATTAAGAGATGAATTGGACTTTAGAAACTTAAGAAGGTTATCCATTTGCTCCTTCGTACATGGAGACGAATCAGCCTCATTGGCCATAGGCATAGGACGATCACCAAACTTACCAGCCTTGCCATGATTTGGTCGCCCATGTAGTTTGTAGCAAGTTTCCCGAGTGTGGCGATTGCGCCCACAGTAATCGCAAAATAAATGAGTCTTGTCTCCACCTCGTTGATTATGAAGTGGTTTACGATTGACATGGGGAATTGCCAAGGCAGATCCTTCAACTGGTGGAGGGACAGCTGCTGTATTTTTTCCAAGCATCACTTGCCGACGACTCTCTTCGCGACGTACTTCTGAAAAGACTTCACCAATTGGAGGGATAGGATTTCTGCCTAGAATTCGGCCACGAACCTCATCAAAATCAACATTTAGACCCGCAAGGAACTTGAAAACACGACTCACATCCACCATCTTCTTGTAATGTTTGCTATCGGCAGGTGATTTCCACTCATACTCATTGAAAAGGTCCAAATCTTGCCAAATACGTTTGAGACAATTGAAGTATTTGGTGACTGAATCTTCACCTTGCCGAATTTCTCCCAATTTGAGAGTTAATTCGTAGATTTGGGATTGATTTTCCAAATCAGAGTACATTTGGGAGACACCTTCCCAAAGTTCTTTTGCAGTATCATAACAGAGATAATTTGCACCTATCTCTTCATCCATGGAGTTGACTAACCATGTCATGACCATGGAGTTTTCAGCATCCCATGTATCATAATCTGCACCTGCCTTGTCTGGTTGTTTTTTGTCGCCAGTAATGTAGCCAATCTTTCCTCTCCCCCTGAGATACATACGAACGGATTGCGACCATCGAAGATAATTAGCACCGTTCAGCCGAATTGTTGTGATCTGAACAGGGTGGTTTTCATGGTACGTTCGGACTAATTTAGGTTCGGGTGAGGAATGTTTGGGTGAAAGTGAGGACTCGGTATCAGACATTGTGGGATGTAAAAAAGATAAACAGAGCGGAAGCAAAAACAAAAAAAAACCCTAAAGGATTCTTGTTGCTACTGATACCATATAGAAATATGTTTTTTCTATATTGTTTTTTCTGTAACATAGTACATGAGTATTTATAGAATATAAATTACACTAAGAAATAGGGGTAATTATTCTCCCTATAAATGCTAATCCTAAATAAGGTAAGAATATAATAATACAATTAATTTCTATTTAATCACAATTTGAATCCAGCCATAATGAGCTGTATGACAGAATCTGTTTTGATTTTGTGCTAATATTCAACATTTTATTTTTAATCATTAATCATGTAGTCTCCTTTCTTGAGATATTTGGGACTCCTAATTTTTAGTTTGTCTTAATGAATATCACACTTTAAAATAAGATATCTAAGACATGAAAATAATTTTAATCATCTAGAACTATTTTTTATGACACTTTCGCTTAACAAAATTTGCCATACACCAACCATAAAAACTTAAAATAACCATAAAATTAAAATAACCAGTTGTCGTGTTTTTGAGATAGTAGTGGCGGTAGAACTGTTTTTTATTTAATTTTTAAGTTTCACGACGTCGTATTGCACGTGCCTTTCTCTTCACTTTCATCCAAAACCCGCAAAACAGACGCTAGGGTTCAGTCACAGTTCCGACGACAATGGAAGTATCCAACTCCCGTATTCAAAGCTCCAAACGCAAGTTTGACGACACCGTTTCATCATCATCCAACGGCGTCGATCTTTCCCTTCTCGAAGCAATTGAGAAATCACAAACCACCATAGAAGCAGTAGACAACCGAACCCTAAAGAAGCTCGTTCTCTCCTTCGAACGCCGGTTGAAGGAAAACATTGAAGCACGACTCAAGTACCCTAACCAACCCGATCGATTCGCGGATTCGGAATTGGAGCTCCACGAAGAGCTTCACAAGCTCAAAGTCCTCGCCGGAGCACCGGAGCTTTACCCTGACCTAGTTAGTCTCAATGTTGTTCCGTCAATTGTTGATTTGCTTAACCACGATAACACCGATATTGCTATTGATGTTGTTCAGCTTCTTCAAGACCTAACGGACGAGGACGCCCTTGACGAAAACGATGAGCCTGCCAGGGTTCTTGTTGATGCTATTGTTGATAACAGTGCGTTGGAGCTTTTGGTGCAGAATCTTCACCGTTTGTCTGAGTCTGATCCTGATGAGAATGCGGCTATTTATAATACGCTTGCTACGATTGAGAATTTGATTGAGGTGAAACCTGCTGTGGCGGAGTTGGTATGCGAGAAGACGAAGTTGTTGAAGTGGTTGTTGGGGAAGATTAAGGTGAGGGAGTTTGATGGGAATAAACAGTATGCGTCGGAGATTTTGGCGATTTTGCTACAGAGTAGTTCTGTGAATCAGAAGAAATTGGGGCAGATGAATGGTGTGGATGTGGTGCTTCAGGCTGTGGCGATGTATAAGTCGAAGGATCCTAAGAGTTCTGATGAGGAGGAAATGGTGGAGAATTTGTTTGATTGTTTGTGTTGTTTGTTGATGCCTTTGGAGAATAAAGAAAGGTTTGTGAAAGCCGAAGGAGTTGAGTTGATGATAATTATTATGAAACAGAAGAAATTGGCTTATGCTTCTGCTATAAGGGCTATTGATTTTGCAATGACTAATTATCCTCCTGCTTGTGAACGTTTTGTTGATGTTTTGGGATTGAAGACAGCTTTTGCAGCTTTTATGGGTAAGGCAAGTGTTTCTGCTTTTTCCACTATTACCGATTTTGTAGAACCTTTAGGAGTTTATCTGTGGTATTGTGTGATGCCATTATTGTCTTAAATGGGTTGCACTTGTACTAAAAGGGTTGTATTTATTGTACATAGATTCCCATTAATAAGAAGAACAAGAAAGAACGGTACCAGGAGGAGTTAGAAGAGCGCATTGTGTCTCTGGTTGCTTCATTATTTGGTAAGCAGACAAGTCAAGTTTCAATTGGGTTTTACCTTGTGCAAGTGCACTCACTGACACTGCATTGTTCTTTTCCCTTATGAGTTATGTGATATTGAACTTCAGTATACCATATACTCTGACTCTACCAGTGGAATCTTGAGTTGTTTTGGGAAAGAAAGATCAACTTGTTTGAAATGAGTGAGAAAATAGGCAAGCTTATACTTTTTTTCTTCCATAAAATGAAAAACCATAGAACTTCAAAATACAACAACGGATACAACATGTATGTTGTCAATATCCTGCAATAGCAGAATAGCATAGCAGTGGTAGGGTTTGACGCTTGCTATTGCCCTGCGAGCCGCTGTCTGCATAGCAGCCGCAAACCGCTATCGAGTCTGCTATTAGGGGTTTGGGGCGAAATTTCTCAAATCATATTTTTTTAAACCCTTTTAAGGGTAGAAATGTCAATTCAAACCTTTTTAATGGTAATGTTTCGTACTTCATTCTATTATGTCCTTGCTCACGCACAATCGTTTTGTTCTTCTCTCTACTTTTAGTTCAGTTCTGTCATGTTCTTATTCTCTGTTTAAGTTCTTTAATTATATTAAGTGTGATGGTATCTTTAATTTTGGGTATTTTTTTATTTTATTTTTAAATATTTATGTAAACTTTGTACACTGATTGATAGTCTTTGCAATGGCGGCTATCTCGCTATAGCATTTTAGGAGGTCTGAGAATCATAAAAACTAATACTTTGCAAAGTGACATTTAGTGCATTCATGTGTGAATTGAAATATGCATTAGTTTGACGTGATGTGCATATACCTTAATCTTTTCTTGCTTAGATGTTGAACTTCAGTACTCTATATCTTCCCAGGTGGTATCTTGAGGGGCTCTAGGAGAGAAAGATTATTAAGTAAGTTTGTTGAAAACGAATGCGAGAAGATAGATAGGCTAATGGAACTATACATCAGGTAGGTTGATCTTGTCCTCTTCTCCTTATGATGTTCACGCTTGCTGAACTCAATCCATTTGTTCCATCCTGTATTAGTTTAAAGTTAGTACACATCTTTGTATGTAGAGATTTATTTATTTTTCATTTGAGCACCCTGAATTTTCCCCCCACCAGATATTCGGATAGAGTCAAAGCTGAAACTGAACGGTTGGATCAAATTGAGTTTGATGACTTGGAGGTAATTCACTTATTTTGCTTGCATATATCAGATTGAAGTAATTTTTTTTAATAGTGAAATCTAATATTTCTGTATTTTATAGATGGATGAAGATGAAAAGTACAATCGTAAATTAGAATCCGGACTTTATACTCTTCAGGTAAGTTTATTTTACCGACTAACCACTTCAAAAAATACCAGTCTTTTAATCTTTTTTAAAACATGTTTGGAATTTGTTCTTTATACTTAAACACCTTTATAATTTTTAACCAAAAAGGATTTTATGAAATTTCATCTTTCTTTTCCCATTTCAAATCGCATTTGAGAAAAATTTAATAAACACCAGTTGTGCTTATAGTAACACCACCTCTGTACGAGATATCAGTTTTACATCGTCTTTTATGTACTGACAAATTTATATTTGATTTTTCAGTTGGTTGCTGTCATTTTGGGTCATATTTGGTGCTCCGAGTAAGTATTTGCACCCTTATATGGTAAAGTTAGGAGCTTTTAGTTATGTATGTTTTTCAGCTGGCCTGACTTAATTGATCTATTCATGGTTAGGCATCCACAAATGAGAGGAAGAATTGAACTACTTCTCAAGCAGAACAAACTTAGTAAAAATCACGTCAAGGATATACTTCAGGTATCCTCTTTGGCTATGTTTGAACAAATTTGTATTTTATATCTTGTTAGTCAGTTTTTGCAATAAAGATGCATTGTTGAAGTCACAACCACAAGTCCAAGTTAAACATCAGTTTTGCAATAATTCTCATATTTTTCCATATTTCAAGGCTCTAGCAATTTTATTTCATGATTTAAAAATGATATATTAGTCCTTTCCCACTAAATAATTTGAAGATTTGAATGAGTCTGGGAACTGGGTTGTCCTTTAACAGTGCTTTGTCTTCGGTGTACCTTTCCTTTGTCTGGCCAAGCCCAGCATCTCTGCTTATGATGTGCTTGAATACTACTATTCAGTGGATCACCCCTAGAAATCCATTATTTTGAACAAAAGAAATAGAAGAAGCTCTAGTTGATTGAATTTTTTTTCTTCATGTGATTTAGGAATATCATGACAATATTGGCGATCTTGATGGGCCAGAAGAGAAGGAGCGAGCACAGGCCAAGATTCAGAAGTTTTTAACGGCGTTATAGCTATTGTAAGACTTAATAGAGAAAACTTCATTGGAAGTGATCATTAATTTTTCTTTTTGCCCTCTTTTCTAATGCATGTAAAATCTTTTTAGTCCAGAACAAGAAATAGTCTACTCAGTATAATGGAGAAAGAAACTTGATATGTGAATGTTGTTGAGATCATAGTTACCTACAGTTTCATTTTTTGTTTTATCATGGATAATATATTCTAGTTTTGATAGGTTATTTTAACAGTGTTAAGAGTTGCATTTAGTCAATGTTCGGTGTGCAATTTATTTTTGTAGGGATCAACTGCCGCAAGGTTCTATAGGAAAACCTAAATGTATTTTTGATTATATTATCTTTTAAACACAACAATTGGATTAATATGAAGTTTATACTACATATGTAGGTAGAAAATATACATAAAGTAAAAGAATATGTCAAAACATAATTTTTCCACCACATTGAAGGGATCTGAATTCGTGTCCAGTCATGAAGAATTGTAGATTAATAATCCTTCTTCCTTGTTTTTTTTTAATGTTTTATCATACAGTTTCCGAGACTGACTGGTATTTTAAACTCTAGATGTCTCCATTAAGGAAGCAACACAAATGTGTGTTACACATGTCCGTGGGATTGGCACTGAGTCACATCCTGTCGACCTTGCAATACTGAGGTTTAATATTATCATAGTACTCTTTCAAATCCTTTGATTTAGCAACATTATATTGGATGATGTTGATTTAAAATGGTGCACGGTGCACCATATTCAGTCTAGTATTTAAACCTGTACTGTTCACCCGGTCCATGTAACTCCATTCCTTACCACCTTGATCTCCGTGGTGGCGGCGGCCTGCCCCTGCCCCTGGAGGAACCTCTGGTATACAGTGAACCTCTGGTATACAGATATAATTAGCTCTTCAGACAAGGAACAGGGCAAATATAACATGCTCATTATTATGATTTTTAAATGTTCGGTTTGAGATAAAAGTAATTTTTCTTCATTTCATCTGTCAATTTGGTTATGAATGTGTAAACATAAATTTATGGCTTCTGTCTGTTCCATATGCTTACCTGGAGGTGGTAGCAAATCGTTCTGATCTGTCTTGTAGACTAAGTTTCTTAAATGGCGATTCAGGTTCGTCAAGTAGTTCAATTTCAAGCAAGGCATCCTCAATAGCCTCAGCCAGTTTCTTGTCCTCATCTGCATTGTGGAAACACCCTCTTTCCTTGGCATCAAGGACTAGTTCTTTCCATACAGAGTCACTATTTTCTAAAGTTGTTTCATTCCCTAATATCCAAAGGCAATGTCTGCAAGAATCGCCCAGATTATGCATGTTATCAGAACATGCAAGTAGGTTGAGTATCATATATAATAAGAGAGTAGCATACCTAGCCCGAGTCAGTGCCACATTCGCTCTTTGTCTATTGGAAAGAAAACCCACTTTTGCATCACCATTAGATCTCACTGTGGATATTATTATTATATCTTCTTCACCACCTTGAAAGCCATCAACAGAACGAACACTAACAGAAAAATCAGGATCAGAAACAGAATTGCTTAGCTTTATTTTTTCTTGGATTTCGTACACCTGAGCATTATATGGAGATATAACTCCTATGCTAACTTTCTTCCCTGTCCTCAAAAATTCTGTAACAAAAACAAAACAGTGTATCAAAAAGAAGAAGCATTCTTATTTGAGAACAAAATGCTGCACTAAATTTTCACAAACTCGTCCACATGGACATTAGTTAAGGAGAAAGATACACTTGCCTTCTTCAAGGTTTCCAATAATCTTGGAGATAGCAGCAGCCTCAACTATGTTCTTTGAACTATGTCCGCGACCTCGTTGTTCTTTACCCTTAGCTATGTTTATAAAAGAAAATGAAGCATACATTTTCCCTTCAAGGAAACACCTATTATATTCCATTTCTCTTACAATAGGGGCATCAACAAGTTGCTCATCATAGAATTCTTTATTTGGGAATAAGCTGATGGATGGATGCATCCTATACTGAGTGTTAAGAAGATGCTTCTTGTATCCCAACAATACCAACCTCTCAAACAAACTTCTTCCATATCCAGCCTCTTCAGTAACCTTTAGATTCAATAATATAATCATATAAGAAAACATTCTTTAACGATGCACTGCTGAAAAAAATGGCAGAAAAGCAATTACCTTGCTTTTGACTACTGCAGGAAGTTGTCTCTCATCGCCTATGAGAATAGCATGGTGGAGACCTGGCAACTGCAACGCAATAGCTGATTCACATTCTTTTAGCTGAGCTGCTTCATCAATAACTAGAAATTTTATTGGTGTCATTCCTTCTGCGAAAAGTCTAGTAGAACTTGATGCAGTGCAGAAAATCAGGCTTGCATTCATCAAGCACAGTTTTTCAATTCCATATTTGTCAGTAACTTTTGGAAGTGAAACTGTCTCAAGAAGTGATCTTAGTAAACAAAGGCACTCTTCTCTTTTGATGTTTAACCCTCCAAGGGAGTTAAAAATGCTTTCTCCGGCTGCATGGTTGTCGAGAGCTTGTTTCAACTTGACTTTACTCAAGGAGCTTTCAAGAGATGTTAGCAAATCAATAGCTATAGGAATTTTCTTCATCTTCTCAAATGGAACTAAAGATGTTGGTAGGTGTGTATACAAGGTTTGCATACATACCTTGAGCTCAACTCCCATGTAACTGAATCTCTGCTTAACAAATCGTTCCAATGTCATGACACTATTCTTTTTACTTTCCTTATAGGAAAGGTATTCCTTCTTCTTAAATTGCTCTAATGTCATAGGATCACCATTCTTCTCATCTTGCTTAGATGAACTATATGCAAGATCTATATCACTCTGTTTTTGCTCTGCAAATTGTTCTAATGACATAATATCAGCTTCTACACGAAGCTTATACAAACCAAATTGCTTTGAGGGGTCCTCAAGCAACATGATCATTGATTCTAACTGATGTTTCCATCCAGTGGATGGAGCAAAACACTTCAAAAGATTACTTGTGCGATAATCAAGAAAGATATCCTGGAGACAGCGATAATCGTCTACTTTCATTCGAGATCTGTTGCCGAATACCACTATGTCACCAAAACCACATGTTTCGGTATTATCCTCAAGTGACTTCTTAACTAAATTCTGCAGACGAGCAGCCACTTCCAACACAGCAGTATTAGTCGGAGCACATGTCAATGTTCTGGTTTTAAACTTGAGCAGGGAAAATAACAAAGAAGCCACTGTCTTTGTTTTGCCAGTCCCTGGTGGACCCCAAATAAGTTTGATAGTGTCGCTGTGATGACATTCCCTCATGGAAACACAGCTTAAAACTGCATCTTTTTGGGATTCATTCAGATTCTGAGACTGGATCATGGTTTGTATTTTAGAACAAGCTGCAATATGGTTTTCCCTGGATATGCAAAGTTGACAGTTTTCTCCGTTCTGTAAAATGCAAAACAATCACGTGTCAATTATTTACTAAAATAAACATGTTTCTTGGTCTGAATTTAGCGATTCTTACATTTGAATTTGCTTGCAACACCTTTTTGATCATGTTCATGTTCGCACCTTCCAACTCCGAGTTCAAGGCTTTCCAAACACGAATATTTGTTGTCAGATTCAAAAGGTAGATAGCATAAAGCTTTGGTGCATTGTTGCTCCTCAAGTAATTAGAGTTAATCTCCATGTCAATGCATTTAGAAGACAAAACTGAGATCTTGCCTGTACTTTCTTTTGACCCATAAACATAAGCAATGTGATAATATCTTCTAGGCCGGTTTAAGTCTTCCACAGTTTTCGGTTTGAAGTCTGTCATAGCAATGAGATCTCCAACTTCTGGTTCATATGTTCCAACATCTTTTGAATCACTATTAGTTCTGCTCACTGAGATTTGATAAAGCAAGAACTTGGTTGGTATGTAGCTTTTGGTTCTTTCAGGTTCAGCTGTCAATACCTCACAAAAAGGCGCGCGGTGCACGCCATACAAGCTTGAAGCGAGATCACTGTGAGTTTCTTCAATCAATGAAGGAATGAATGAGTTTAAGTAACTTGTTACTGACATGAATGTTTGTGAGATCTTTTGCACCTGAGACATACACAATAATGTTTAAGACTACATGTTTTCATAAAACAAATAATTTTCAGTGAAGGAAATGAAAAATAACCTTGTTCTTGCAGAGGTTTTCGTTGCGAACATCGTTGAAACTCCAAGAAAATACAATTTCTACCAAACTTGCAAGATCAATTTCCTCCCTCTTAGCATTATAACTCTTCTCCATACCTTTCTCTATTTTTAAGACCACTTCTTTCTAAACAAGACAGTCTCAAAAGCATGGAGCAACAACATCCCTTAAAGCTTCTTTTTATACATGCTAAATAACCAAAACACAAGGACAGAAAAAAATATAAAGAATTACTTAGACCTGAAGAAACTAAATAGTTTACACAAAACTTGCTCATGAGGTATACCATGGTTTCATAGTACTAGTGATGAAAGTGAAAAGAAGATTCTCCTCGTATACTAATTTAATGGAACCTTAATTTATGTCACAAAAAGCAACATGACGTACACAAGAAACGTCATAACTAGGAGAAACAGGGTTGATATTAATAAAAGTTGTGTGGAATGGAATGGTTATTGTAGTATAATTATAGTATAGTGTAAAGCAAAGAACACTACAGGACAAAGGTAAAAAAGTTATTGACGTCAAGTCAACTACAGTACAAAGCAAAGCATTACATTATTTGATTTGAGCATGGAAAAAAGTGGTCGGTTTCATGTAATATTATTGGTTACTTTCATAGAAATTTTGGTCGAATGTGTAAGGAAGCTTACCAGAAAGGAGACTAGAAAATAATTATGATATTTAATTTAGTTAACCAATACTATGATATTCTTTGTATGTTATCAAAATATGGAAAACTGGTACTGAATCTTACTTTCATCTTTAAACTAGACTTGTTATATGCAAGTGCATTAAGCTAGAAATAAGCAAATCAACTAAAACAACACCTATTTAATCACAATCTCAACCCTTAATTTTCACATGCTTAGAATTTCATGTTTATGAGCATAATGCTCTATTACTATCTCTTTGTATTTGCATTAAGCTAACCGATTCTGTACTGTACAAACAAACCTAACATACCAATTCATTCTAATTCTAAATTAAACATCCCTCAGTTGGAGCGAAGCAAGTTGGTTACATAGAAACTGCATCGCATCATCTTGTGGCGGATTATGATTGGTTTGATAAGTCAGATTAGTTGACCATTTCATCGGAGAATTATACCCGTTAGAACACTTGATTTTGCAGCATCTATGTATATCAGTAGAATAATTCCTGCAGAAGATGTTAATATCCCTCACCATCTTGGATACCTCGGATAATGGCAAAACATCCCAAATCTTCAGAACCTGAACATAATTTGAGTTTTCCTCAAGAATGTTAATTGTCCATACGAGATAAAGTAACTCATTGACTTTGCACAGCCCCAACAGTTGGGAAGAAGTATCATCTACAACTCCGATATTTATATCCTGGTGAGGCTGATGCCATCCACTTGAAAGAAGCATCAGCAGCGAACATATTTTCTTGCAATCTTCGGTGCTCTTGATTCTTGCCATAGAGTTCAGAAAACTTTGATTAAAGTAAACCTGTAATTAGGATATATAGTCACAAGATTGAGAATACATGAAATTTTGAAAATGATTAGGCTGCTTAAAAAATCTGGAGAACACTTTTATCTGCTGCATCTGTCATAATGGTTAAAAAGCGGTTAAAATTCATCAATATCAATATTTTTTCCTTCAACGAACGAGGAATTTAACTTTGGTGCACTTTTCAGGAATGATAAATCCATTGAGCTGTAATGAATATCATCATATAAATTTAAGGGGTGAAAACAATTTGGGTTTAAGCAAAACTAATTGGTCAGGGTGGAGCACAAGTCTTAAGCTAGGTTAAGAATGAACATGAGTAGATGTTGATGGTGAAAGTGAAAGATGATTTTAGATTTTCCTAACTGTATAAAACATTAGATTCAAGCTGTTTTTTGAGTGCTAAAATATTAGTCTTATCAGGGGTCTACAGCCTGCTGCATCTCAATCAGAAGAGCCCTCTGCAAGTGATCATCTATATTGTGTTTGATGCTAATAATACACGTGACAACAAGGAAACATGTTACGATTAAGAATTTTCTCTACGAGAAAAATGGCAAATCCATTGATCGACTGACTACGAATTGCCTAGGTAATTTAGACAAAAAACGAGAATAAGGTCCATATTGATGACGTCAATTCTACAAATAAGAATCGGAGGACAACTAAATATTTCGACAAAGTTGTATATATGTAGGCAAATCAAGTTTAGTTGAACATGTTTAGTCTCTTTTGTTATGCTTCTTTTAGGGGGTATAACTTAAAGTACTATGACATCTTTAATAATAAAATAAAACGCGAACAATATCAAGCAGCATACCTTCCATCTTGCTTTTCTAAAGAGCAGAGAATTTGTATTCAGTAGATCAAGGACTTGACCAAGATCAACAATGGCAGTAGTAATAAAATGAGACAATCTATCATCCTCATCAGCACTATGAAAACATCCTCGACCTATAGCATCAACGACTAGTACCTCCCAAATGGAGCCACTATTCATCAAAGTTTCACCATTACCTATAATCCAGAGGCAATACCTGTGAAAGGTACATTCATAATTTGAATTGAAAAAAGAAAATTAGAACAAATAGTGTGTACGATATAAGGGTGCAGAACATACATTTAGGTGTCTGTTAGGACTATTAGTAAGAGTTAGTTGGTTAGTTAGGCCAGTTAAGCTGAGTCAGTTAGAGCATGTTGTTCCTCACTATAAGGGAAGTTTAGAGTGAGAAAGATCGGGTCATTTGAGAGGAAGCCGAGACCTTTGAACATGGGAATGAGTAAAGGATCCCTTTCCTTGAAATTTTGGAGTTCTATCTTCATAAGTTGGGGAGATTTCCCCCATTTATTTCAATACATACCAGGCTCCTAACAGTGGTATTAGATTTAGAGCTCCCACCCAGGGAGTTCATCATGGAAAGCTCACAGATGGAGTCCAGAATAGAGGTTATAAAATATTATTGTAGAATATTAAAAGATGATTGCAAGAGTTCATCTTGGGACTATTTCAGAGCACCGGTAATTAAAAGGTTTCTGCCTACCATGATGCAGAATTCTAGGGAGCAAGCTGATAGAATGGAAAATGAAAGTCTGAAAAGCAGGAGTCAGGTGTGTTGTAATAGAGAACAAAGCAGTGAAATAGAAACACGGATAGCGGGAAAGACAAATAACACGAGAGGGGAGAACTTGATTAGTTAAGGAAAAGAAAGGAAAGAGTCAAAGTGCAACACAGAAGGGGGTTTGAGCTAGAAAGGGGAAGTAGAAACTGAGGGAAGGATGATGTCCCATGTGGGTGCTGAATGAGGGGGGCATCAAGTTGACTTGAACCGACACCAACCGTAGACTAGATAGTTGAGCAAGCTAGGATACCCACTACACTTGCCAGAACCACGAGACTCAAGTTTGTTCTATTAGATAAGTCCAAATGGGCTGGGATGATTTCTATATTGGGTTGGGTATTATTAGTTGAGGAAGTTAGAGTGATTAGTGGTTGTTAGTTAGAGTTTTGCGAAGAAAAGCTATAAAGTGAGAGTGAGAGAAGATTGGGATTACTCTAGATGGTTCAGATTGGTTGGTGAAATACATCCCAACTTTCGAAACGTCCTCCTGGGTTTCATTAGTGATCAAGGTTAAAGAAAATTTCATCCACAAAATCATATATTTTCTTTTATTCTTTTTTTAACATGAATGAGCTAGTATCTGGCATGTTCAAAGAATCAAAGGGGTTTGGATTCCCTACATTCAGGAAATCCGCAATCAAACAATCTGAACCATCTAGTCAGATTAGACCACTCACATTTCAACTTGGCATTTTGAATCAGAATTTAAATGAGTCATCCAATCATGAACATCGGTCCAGACTGCACAACAGGGAAAAAGTGTGATTCTTTGACTGCACGGGAGACCCGGATATAATTCAAATATGTAAAGAAATTTTGTCCCACAACTCTAGAGAAACCACATATTTTGGCAGAGGAAAAGAACTAGCACAAAATACGAAACTTTAGGTCAAACCCAGCTGGCTAATAAGGCACAGTATTACGGTAATGGGCAGTTTCAAAAAATACAGATTGTTGCTGACAAAGGGTATGATGCTCGAAGTGGGTTATGGGCTGTGCAAATCCCCTCTGAAACATTCAAGCAAATACTACAAGCTGGTCTTGTTGACAAAAGGGATGAAGCTTTTACTGAGTTGGTAGCAAAGAGTCTAAGTAGTTTCATATTTCACATTTGTATTGCTCAGTGTCTGTTAGAGACTGGTTGTCAAGGAGTTAGTTAGGTTAGTTAGGCTTAGATAGTTGAACCATATTGCCTATGATTAAGAGGAGAGGTTGAGACTTAAGAGAGAGACAATGAATTTCTTTTTATATGAAATTGGAGCTGTTGGTCAGAGAGATGAGAAAACTCTTTAGTAATGCTTATGCAGTATTAAGGATACTAGGTTCTTAACACATACCTTGCTCTTGTTAGAGAAACGTTAGTTCTTTGAATATTGGAAATGAATCCCACGACTCCCATGTTGTTATGTCTGACGGTGGATATTATTATCACATCCTCCTCACCCCCTTGGAAACCATCAACAGTGGAAACCTTCACAGAAAAACAATCATTGACATCACCGCCAAACCTTTTGTCAAGTGCATCTTGGATTGCAAAAACTTGAGCTTTATATGGTGATATGACACCAACACTAACAGTATGTTTTTTGGAAACTGATTCTGTAAATATTCAATACATGTAGAAAAAGTATGGTTAATAATACAAATAAAGTAACTCATAAGTCATAACAAACATTTATAACTCAATTGTTTGCTTTTACTCATCTTCATATCTTAGATCACATTACCTTTATAAAGGTCATGAACAATCCCAGACACCACAGCTACTTCCACCATATTTCTTCGGCTGTTCCCTTCATCCAATTCATCTTCTCCAAAAGAAACATCTATGAAAGAGTATGACTTAAACATATCTGCACATAGAAAATGTTTTTCGTAGTTTCTATCTTTGACGCTTAAAGAATTCAAAAGTTGATTGTCATAGAACTGCATATTTGGAAATAAGCTAATGGATGGATGCATTCGATACTGAACATTGAGAAGGTGTTTTTTATGACCAAGAAGAGTAAGCCTTTCAAATAAACTTCTCCCAAATCCCGCCTTATCAGAAATCTGCATATTAGCAACAAAAAATCCCAAGATGTTGAAAACTGCTCGTGAATTTAACGAGTGAGTGAGTGAGTGAAGTGAAGTCAGGAACTAACAAGAACAGAACGCACCTCACTTTTGACTAGTGCAGGCAATTGTTTCTCATCTCCAATAAGTACAACATGGCGAAGACCGGGAAGTTGTAGAGGTATATTTGACTCACATTCTTTGAGTTGGGCAGCTTCATCGATAACTAACATTTCTAGTCTACCTAGCCCTTCTGCGTGCAGTCTAGAAGAGCTTGAAGCAGTACAAAATATCATGCGGGATGTTTTGAAACAAAAGCTTTTAATTGAATTTTCATCAAAAAAATCAGGAAGAATCAACAAATCTCTAAGAGATTTCAGTCTTTTAAGGCATTCTTTCCTGGTCATATCCAGCTTATACTGCCAAGTAGAGGAACTTAATTTACATTCATCAGTATAAAATGTAGCAAGGGCGAGTTTAAATCCTTTATCAGTAATGGAATTGTTTGATAGTATCGTTGCAAGGACTTCAAGCCAATCAAGACATTCAAATAAACTTTTCACCACTCTTAACGAAACAAAAGAAGTTGGCAAATGAGTACACATTTGCACAGCGAATGTCCTCATCTGCATCCTGGTGGAGTTCAATTCTTTCTTGACAAACTCATGAAACGTCAATCTTTTTATTCCGTTCTCATGAAAAATACAATCCTTCTTCTCTTGTTTGTCATATTTACATCTGTTTCCCTCCTTAAAAAACAACCTATTTTCTCTTAAAGTTTTATTAACTATCCTCTTCCACTCATTTTGCTTAGAAATATTTGGATCCTGGTAATCAATATTTTTTCTCTCCTGATTTGTTTGTTGACTTGCGATAGCAAGCACTTCCTTTTCTTCTTTCAAACAATCATCGTCGTCTATCTCATAATCCCTCTTTACCTCGGAATTCAAGTATTCAAGATACTGTTTTTCAGGGTTTTCAAGTAACCATATCATGAGTTCTAAATGATGTTTCCAACCAGACAAAGGTGCAAAGCATTTGGAAAGAATACTTACACGGTAATCAAGAAATATATCCAAAAGATCATCAAGATTGTCAATCCTCATCCGCTTTCTGTTACCAAATAATACTATGTCTCCGAGACCGTAAGTGAGGTAATCAAAGGACTTCGTTACTAGCCTCAGAAACCGAGATGTCAATTCCAGTACTGCGACATTAGTAGGGGCACAAGTAAGTGTTCTGCATCTCCTCTTGAGAAGGGAAAATAATAATGAACTAGCCGTTTTAGTTTTCCCCGTCCCTGGAGGTCCCCAGATCAATTTCACAGTATTTTTATGAGAACATTCCCTAGCAGCTATACAACTTAAAACCCCCTCTTCCTGAGCATCATTCAAATCAAATGAGCGGATGACAGCACCAAGTCTTGATGTATCAATAGAACATTTTTCACTTGAGAAACATTGAGCACAATTTTCTCCAACCTGTATGAAGATGAAAATATCTAAAGTATATAAATGCATTGATCCAATCAATAAGGCTTCCGTGAGTACGTAAGGAATAAAAAGGGGAGAAAATAATATGAAAATATCTAGCTTCATATACAATAGATAGGTAAATTACAAGGTATAAATCACTTTTCTTACACCAGAATTAGGTTGGAAAAGTTGCTTAATGATATGGATGCTTGAGCCATCTGGATCTGAGTTTAATGCATTCCATATACGAATAAATGTTGTCATGTTGCAAAGATAGACACCAAAACCATATATAAACGTGTCATCCTTTTGCCAGTGCTGTTCCAATTCAAAGGGCTTCGAGATTAGTATTTTAGCCTCATATACATCTTCAGTATTGTCCTTCTTTCTCACCCTTTTAATTGAAGCAATATTATAGGGACTTCCAGGCTTACTCAAGTCATCAATGCATGTCGGTCTCCTATCAGTCAAAGCAATTAGTTGTCCTGTCTCAGGCTCGAAAATAATCCCATTTTCATCACTATCCGCTACTGTTCTGATTTCAATCTTGTATAACAAGTTAAGTGGAGGCTCGTAATCGTTGGAAAGTTCAATATCAGTTATTTCCCATGCTGGAGCTTTTGACACCATTTTAATGCTTGAGCATAACTCCGTACGAGTTTCCTCAATAAGCGGAAAAATAAACGAGTCGAGATAGTGACTTCCTGATGAGAATGTTGTTGGAATTTGCCTCACCTAAAAGATATAGAAAATTATACTTTTGATTTTATTTTCAGAATGAAATGAACATTGAGTACACAATCAAGCAAGTTGCAGATCACATTTAGAAAATCTGGTAGTTTACGGTTTTAAAATTGAATATTTCATCGTGCAAGCAAATATATAAGCATAAAAATAGTATATAAATTATAAATGGTGTCAAATTACTAAATGCGATGGAGAAAGGTGAAAATATGAATGAGAGAGGAGAAAACACAAAAGACTATAATAAGAGTATATTAAACGGGAAGCACTCCACCCCCTCAACCCATTATCACAGCTTTCACAACTGCTATCCAAAACTGGGATGAGCCACGCTATTAATAACTGATATATGAAACCATCACAATGCTATACAAACTAAGAAGACACCTATGCGTGTCATGGTTTTCCGCACGCGTGTTGCGGTTTCCTACAGGTCTTGACAATTTGTCAAGACAACATTGCGAAAAGTGTCGGGGAAGTTAGACAAGTGTAAAAAAAAAAGTCATACAAGTGTCCCAAAAAAATAACTTTTTTTATTTGATTCAACACACTTTAAATCAATATTGAACACTAGTATAATACACTCATATCTAACAAGTGTTTCAAAAGAAATTACATATATGTAAATGTAAATATTATCAATGAAGAATTAAAGACTTTAAGCATATTTTAGGTTATCATATTTTTTAATTTGAATAAATGACGCTCGAATATTCATATATGTAGCAGTGTTGGTGACCTATCCATTTTTCTAGGTTATCATAGTCGAAGCGAGTCAGTATCTATCCAGTGTCCGAGTTGGAAAATTCATTAAGCATAGTGGACAATCACATTGCGAAGAAAAAAACACAGTCAGTGATGAATGAAACGTGAAAGGTGAAATCTTGATGATTGAAAGTAGAAGTAGTAAGAGTATATTAAAAAGAGTAAAGAGTAAGGAGTGAATAGACCTTGTCTCTAAAGAGATCATCGTTGAGTATATCTTGGAGGGACCAAGAGAATACCAATCTAACCAAGTCTTGTTTACTCCGTTCCATCACTTGATTTACACAGAAAACCCCGATGATCGGAGTTGAAGAAATCGACGGTGATGAGTGTGCAGGTTGTATTAGGAGGGAAGGAAAGAGCGGCAATGATAGAACTTTTGGGTTTTATAGGCGAGATTTTCTTCTTATTCCTAGTCGTATATTCGTATGTAACCGCGGATCGCGACCTATTTAATTTTTAATTTTTTTTTTAATAATCATTGTACTAAATGATGATTATTAAAATTAGTTAGTATTAATTACATTTTTTTCTATTAAATAACCATTACTAACTTTAAAATTAGTTATTATTAATTACATTTTTTTCTAATTATGATTTTCTTGTTTTACTACTTATTGTTTTGTTGTCTTAAATCATGTATAGTATTTGCTATTACTTTTACTCAATTCTTATAAAATTTCTTTTTGTATTCAATTTTTTTTATATTATTTAATTATCTATTAGAATATGTGATTTTTTTTCTATACTAGTAATAACTGAATTATTTTTAGTATTTTTTTTTTACTTTCTCTAAATTTTACCCTTTATATTTTTTTTCCTTTTTTAAAATTAGTTTGAAAATACAAACTATTAAATTATCGTTGGTTTTTTAATAAAAAATACAATCAATATAAAAAGTCATATCAATATAATATAAATTATTTTCTGAAACTTTATATATATATATATATATATATATATATATATATATATATATATATATATATATATATATATATATATATATATATATATATATATATATATATATATATATATATATATATATATATATATAAAGAGATATTCTATAAAATATTTTTTAGTCTCATTCTAGAATAGAATATAATATACTTTAGCATATTCTCTATGTAATTAATACTATGAACGATATATTTTACTATATAATACAATTTTCGTAGTGTTATTCAAACACACGATTTTATTCAAATATCCTTTGTTCTCTCATATTTTTACATGGTATCCAGTGTCTATTGAGAGTCAACCATTCATTGTGCTTTATCCGATTGACTCATTCCGGCATTAATTTTATGTAATTCTCCGATTACCATAGCACACTGCCATTGTTGCCACTGATTTTGACGACGTTCTCGTACACCACCCCAGCATACATAATTGTCTGCTCCGATCCAGACAAATCGCAGAAGATCGTCGCCAACTGCATTCGCACGTGCCCACACACGTCGTGAGTGTCTTTGTGCATGGGCCTCAAGCGCCTCCATTGTCGTCGTGTGTGATGGCACATCCAACCTCTAATCAAGCTGTCGCTTTCGCCATTTCACTTGATTTTTCATCAGGGTTGCAAATATGCTTTTAGGTGTTTTTTTCACATCTACAGAAATACGATTTGTTATTCAAATAACCTCTATTTCATTCATATTTTATTTTCAAGACATTGGAGACATGGATTATGTCTCATTTACCAAAGTTTCGCTTATCATGTGTGAAAACATAATTGGAAAAAAGGCCATGAAAGTCTTATTTAACACTGTTCATTGTATATACAGTGTCATCCTTAAACTCAACTTTATGAAATTGGAGAGATAGGGATATGCAAACGTATGTGAGTAGGTTTGATGCCTCGAAAGCAAATTTCACAACCTTAATGCTTTAATAAAATATGCGACAATTCATGACAAACAACATAATAAGTTTTTCATGATCATGTGCCCCTGCACCAGGTGACACTACTGCCTATGTGTCTATTGACAATAATAAGAATCGCATTTTAGAAGGGTCATTCAACTCCAAACCTCATCCTAAGTGTGAACATTGTAACCGACTTGGACATACTATTGACAATTGTTGGAAGTTGCATGACAGACCTTCATGTTAGATGAATGCAGCTCAAATTGATCATTCAGATACTCTTTAGACCACACCTTCTCTTCATAGATTTACACACACAAGTAATTCATCTGGTTTCCCATCTCAATCATCTTCTCTTGGACATTTGGTCCTTGATTCTGGTGTATTTGATCATGTTATCGGTAATAAAGGGTTTTTCTCTTCTCTCTCTACCTCTGGTTTCTTACCTACTATAACTTCTGAAGGTGAGAAAATACTTAGAAGGGGGGGGGGGGGGGTTGAATAAGTATATAGAAAAACTTATAGCAATAAAAACTCAAAGATTTTTATCCTGGTTCTTTGAACTCAACTACTCCAGCCCACCCTATCAAGAGTGATTTGTCTTTCTCAACAAGGACTTAATCCACTATTAATCAACTGATTACAATAGCAAACACTAAGAGCAACTGTTCTTAATCTTCTTAAGAACTACTAATCCCAACTAGATCTTCTTAAGGATCTTTTACAATCAAATGTAAGAATAAAACAAGTGTTTAAATGCTTCTAATTAAGCTATATCACAACTGTGATTTTACACTTAAGTTTTAAGAACTTAGAAATAAATTCAGCAAGATAATATTTTGTATGAGAGCTTGTAATGAATTTCTTTCAATAATTTTGTCAATTGAAGAAGATTGATGAGTCTTGCTTTTATAGGCACAAAGGTCCAAGAAGTCTTTCATGTTGAAGGCTGTGTACTAAAAAGGTCTGAGTCTTTTTGTCTTCACATCACATGACCTTTCCTAGAAAAATAATGCACAGAGAAATCCTTTTTGTCTGTGTTTTTGTGTCTAGCATAAATAAGGAAAGAGTCGTTTGGCCAAACCAACTGACATAACTTTGAATTCTTCTTCAACAAGTTTCAGCAAATACCATCAGAGTCTTGAGTGGTCAGAGTCTTCTGATGTTCATCAGAGTAATGCAGCAAGTGTGCTTTCAGCGTGTAATTGTTCAGAGCAGAGTTTTAGGATCAGATCCTCAGTACTGGCAGCGTAGTACTATCAGAGTCTTCTGAAATAAACTAAGCTTGAAACTCTTTATACAAAATCTTTCAATGCTTCAGATGCTTCTGTAGCTTTTGCTTCAGATCCTTCTGTAGCTTCTGCTTCAGAATCTTCTGTGGGCAGCGCTCAGAATCTTCTGTAGGCTTTCAAATTCTTCTAATCAGATTCTTCTTGTTTCAGAGCCTTGCATAATTCCATATTCAGATCTAATTTGCTTTCAGAATGATATTCACTTTAATATCTGCAGCAAACAAACTTGAACAAATTTTAGAGTATATAATTCTTAATACAAAATTTCATAAGAGTTATCATCAAAACATAGAGATATAATTAAGAACCAATCTGCGTTCTAACAATCTCCCCCTTTTTTATGATGACAAAAACATAAGAAATTTTGTTCAATAAAAATATAATTAAAACTCCCCCTGAGATTATGAATCTCCCCCTGAATTGAATACTTAGAAGGAGTAGAAACTTCCCTTTTTGCATGAGTATTCTTTTCAGAATCAGAGCCTGATTTTTCAAAAAGATTGGAACTTGACTTGAATGAGCATTTCAGAATCAGAGTCTGATTGGTTAAACTTGATATGGGGATCTCAGGGTTACTTTTAAAGAATTTGTCAGATTTTTCAAATGTTCTGAAATACTAAGAGTTTACGTTAGTTATAATTAGATATGTCTGAGTTTCATTTAGGTAGAGTTTATTTGAACAGTCAGATCCATTTCTCCCCCTTTTTGTCATAATCAAAAAGTAAAACTTTTAAAGACAAATAAAAGGAAATACATAAAAGATATATTCATGTAGAGAAAACAGCAGAGTCATTCATTCATATTAAAAACAGACAAATCATAAGATAAATTCAAGTACATGTGCACAAACATCAGATACATAAAAACATAAACTAGGTTTGCTTGGACAGAATCATCTTCAGAAGTTGAGTGATCTCAGATGAAGATTTTTCTTGCTTTGTCATCCATTGTGCCATGTTGTCATTCTTCTGATCTTGCTTAGACATCCATTGAGCCATGTTCTCATATTTCTGGTCTTGCTTGGCCATCCATGACTTGATCTCAGACTGTCCAGCTTCCAAAACTGCAATCTTATCTTCCAAATCTGGATTCTCTTTCTTGATCTCAGTAGAGGTAGAAGGAGCAGATTCTTGTGCAGGAATAGAAGCAGAGTCAATTTCCATTGGGGATACAGAGTCAGGAGCAACAGATCCAGAGGGATTTTCCATAATTGTCAGAGCCAAATGGTTTTCCTCAGAAGCAGATTCTGCAAGAGTTTCTGTAGCAAATACTCCAGAAGATGAAGGGACATCTTCAAGAAGCAAAGGTGCAGATCTCTTTACGTTCCATATCATGCTTCTGGAAGTCTCAGCAAATCTGAGCTTCGCATCATCAGAACATACATTCTTCAGATTTGAGGCTACAGTATTGAATCTGGTAATGAAGCTATTCCAGATAGCATCAGATTCATTTGCATCCATGGTTGACAAGCATCTCTTCTGTACAGAGCCTAAATGCATCTTTATTTCTTTCATAAAATTTGCAAATAAATTATCAACATTTAGCCTAGTTTTTGGTTTGAGAAGGGTTTCCAAAGTGAATGGCTTGGGTTGAGGTGGAGGTGGAATGGTGAATTGTGGAATGATGATCAGAGGGCTAGGATATGCTGGTTTCTTCTGAGCAGGCATAATGTGAAATAACGGTTTGATTTTGCAAATGGATGGGATGACAGCTTTTGGATTATCAAAATAAGGAACAAAAACTGATGGTTTTTGTTTAAGTGTTAGTATAGGTTCAGAAATGATAGTATCAGATGTAATGAGTAGATAGGAAGTAGTAGTTTTGGATCTGGATAAAGCATGAACCAGATAAGGTTTTACACGTGATGCAGAGGAAACGACATCAAATGTAGTGGAAGTGTAAGGAATGAAAACAGATTTATCAGACAAAAGAAGTTCTGATGAAATCATATCTGGCAGATCTTTTAAGTAGGTTTGAAGAACAAATGGTAGAATAGTGGAAGTCTTAGGTTTAAAAGGAGTGATAGAGTCAGATGGTTTTATTCTATCATAAAAATGTTTAAACTTAAAACCAGAATGAAGTGGATCAGAGGGGAGTGGTTTAAAGGA